CCATTCCAACACCACCGATCTAAAGGCTCCTCAACAATAATCAGTGCTGAGCTGAGAATTTTGCATAACTATTCCCAAGCTTACCTACCCCGTGGTTTATTCACGTCTCATAGCTATATAAAGTTGTACCTACTGGACAATGCGACCTATTGTGGACGCTGGGAGAGGGATACAGTAGGCTCTTGATAAAGCGACGCCTGATATAGGGGGGGTCTGATATAGGGGGTCTGATATACGGATAGATATAAGAAGTCTGAGACAAGAGTATAGCTTGTCCACCCTCTCAAGGCAAGCATATGTATAGCCACTTCAAGCTCAGGTTGGGGGGGGGGGTTGACTTAATTCTATCTACTATACCCCGGCAAAAGTATATGCGAGGACCCCCATATATATTCGCAAATACTTTCGCCGGGGTACTGTATGTACGGTTACTACGCAAATTCACTCGAAAATAGAAAAAACCGAACCCCGGAAACACATAACAAATCACTTCCTCCGCAGCTAGCCAAAGCCAGCACTCCCGGAACTCTGCAAGTGCGCGAGTTATTGCGCTTGCGTCAAGACTGAGTAACAAAGGACACCTTGATAGGGCCACCCAATGGAGAAGCTCACGATCTTTGCCCCATTTGGTCTAGCATCCATATTCCCTCTCAACCGAATGTTGCCTTTGGTCACACTCTTAGCCGCGATTGTTGCTCCTGTGCTCGTGGATCAGTCGGGGTTTTGGATAATGTTGGAAACCATAACGGTGACACGTTTTAGGCGCTCCTACTCAGAATATAAGCACTCTGGCTCCTCTGGATTCCAATATTAGCACTCTTGTCTCGGAATGCCACAAGACCACAGCGGTGCTAAAGTCAATGGCAATGATTGCAATGGGGTTTGGTCCGTGCACGTGGTGGGTGAGTGTGTTCAGAGGTCAGTGGTGACCGTGGTGGTGGAGAAGGTAAGCCCATTGCTCCTGGAGAACATTGTTTTGCTGTATTAGGATTGTGGTTCCACTCCCATGTGGGGCCGATGGAGGTACCTGAAAAGTTGTCGGTTCCGGTCCGGGAGGGGACTGGGGGGCGGGAAGAGGCATCTGGTGCGTTGCTCCCCATCCTCCTCCAGAGTTTGTAGTCAACACGGGAAATCCGTCACTACCCCCAGATGATGGCAAGAACCGGCATATGCCCTGCAGGGTATGACCAGGTGAAGGACATAAAATACCAGTTCTCCATCTGGGGACTCTTATAGATAATAGAGACCCCTGATGTGGGGTTCCGCCACCAGAAACCGGGGAAGCAATCCAGGATTAAAGAACCTTGTAAGCGTATTCACTGTTTGCCTGCCAAATATAGGTTCTCTGACCACTAGGGTAGCCATCAAGTACATAATAGACTCCGTTCCTCTGGTAAAGACCGGGGGCTTGCATCGGACGGGGAAGAGAAAATTTGCTAGGACTTTGTTTCCTGGAGTCCATCACTGGTGAGTTGTGCCATATAGATGATGTCGATGCCATACACGACGTACATGGATGTGGAGGCTGCTGTCGTAGTAGCATTTGTTGATTGTGCTTCGGAGAGTCCAGGTATACACTTCGGGTTCGAGACTACACTTAGGTCTAGCTGAATTCAATGCATCCGATCCAATATCAGTTACCGTTGTTCTTGCGGTAATACAGAGTGCTTGCCCAGATCCCTTTGATGTATGCCAGGGAACGATCCCTGACAGATATAACTATTACGCAATCCTGTGCTGAGCTCGATCTCGCAATATTAGCTACTGCATCCTTTTCCATGGATAAATTACTTAATCTACATGGCTTTTTTTTTTTTTTCAATCATTACTCCTATTCGGTCCCAGATGATCTACCCATGAGGAGAGACCAAAACAAGTCCAGCAAACCAGGGCCGGTCCCTGCCCTCTCTTCCACACCAGCTCTCATCCGTCACGGGTCCTCCCCACCCCATCCCTGACCCAGGCACATTCCAGCAGATCGTTCTGGGTCCTTCCGCATTCACAGATGGGGTTTTGCACGCTCCCGATTATGGATTCGTAGCAATGTATGTCCAGCCCTCGATCGCCTGGTTACTCCTCGCAATATGCCCCTGCTTCTGGTGGATCCTGAGGACTGGACGAAGTTTTCCCACCCACGCCGCCACCCTCGCTCTCCCGTCCGTAAGCCTAGGGACAACGTCTTTTCATCAGAGCCTCCACCCATATCTCGGGGGGCTGCTCACTAGGTCCAGCCCCGAGGCATCACTGTCTAGCCCCACCACACTTGCCTGTTCCCAATTGCTAGGGCTATGCCCAGCATCTCCGCATCCATGCCGACCGTGGCATATATCCCTAGGTAAAAGTTCTGCCCGCCGCGTGGCTGCCACCGTAACCTCCTCCGCCGCCTCCGGATCGAAATCCCTCACACACATAGGGGTTCCGTTCCGTCACCGGCCTTATAACTCTGGGTAGTGCCTGCTGTACATTGAGGCCGCCCAGCTAGCTCTCTTCCGGTACATCGCTTCCTCTAACTCCGATATAACTGCTAGCTTGCTGACCTTCCCACAGTCGTTCCCCCTCCAAGCACCTACCACCCACCTCGATAACTCCACTGTAAAGCGAGCCTGCTTCACTTTAATTGTTTTTTTTTCAAAATTCTCATTACTCCTACTCGGTCCCAGTTAGGTGACCCTGCTCCTCATTAGGGGTCCAATATAACTCTGCCACATATGTCACGACCACCAGGATATGGCTCACTACCAACTGTTGTGTCGCTTTGAGTTTGAAGGGTTAGCTACTGCATCCATTAGTGCTGGTGGCAGACCCTGTTGCGAGGCACACCCGATTTGTTTGAAGGAAATTTGAATAGCTCGCAAGTATAGTATCGGACACACCATAAAAGTACAGTATGGGATGGTGAACTTCAAGTGAAGGGTGTTAACTATTCTTTCACCAAGTGTAGATCTAGCCGCCCCAATTGTTCGGGGGCATCACACTCATTCCTGTCGTACACGTTGACACTCATTAGATACGGAATTAAATTTGGCGTCGACGACAAGCAAGGATAGTATCAAAGTTCATACAATTCAAGGCGTGATATCCTGCTGCTACTGCGGACGCGCACTTGGCCTTCGTTCGCGGAAAGCTTTTCAAGCATCCACGGGGCACTAGCAGGTTTGATGATTGGCTGAGATAAATGTTCTAGGCCCGCGCCTATCACTTGTGATGGCCCACCATGTTGTTGACATATAGAGTTGCCTTCATTCAAGAAGGCACCTTGAAATTCACCATTCCCACACTCCCTGGGCGCGTCGTACAGTACTATTTTCAACCCCATAACGCACGCACCGATACTGCGAGAAACAAAACAAGTCATGGAATGTCCTCCTATATCTGTATCCATAATACAACCGCCAGCTGAGAGTGGGCTTGCTCTTTTTCCCACCGACGCCTACTGTCCGTTTGGGCCAGAAGGGTGCAAGATGAAGTGGCAAAACCCCCAACCAATCGCCAGAGGTTCCCACCATGATAGAAGTCCCTCACTATGCATCAATCTCATCCGTCGTCGTGTTCACAAACACCTGCAGAGATCCCACGCCCACGAAACCTTTCAGGCGAACTTGCTAATATCCCCCAGTGGCTACCACCTCACGTTAAGGCTTTCCGAAATCGGGATTTGCCCTGATTGTGAACGGGTAGTTTTTACTCCAATAGAGGAATTGACGGCAGTGGAAACAAAGAGGCTGGAAAGGGAAATGAACGTGCATCGAACAAAAGACTGTGAGGTGCTCGTCAATTTCATTGAGCAATATGGAGATTATGTGCGGGAATGCACCTCTCGGACAATTCTACACTGTCGACGCTTAAGATCAGCTAATAATAAAAGATCGTTGGAATCGAGCGCGGAGCCAGAGACTCCTTTTGAAAACACGAACGCAGTCCCAGACTCCCAACCTCGGACAACAGAGCTACCTGCAGAGAATACATCAATGACTCTGGAATTGGCGTCCAATGGGGGGCCGCAAACGCCATCTAGTCACATCAAGGGGGTCACGGAGATTCCTCAACAAAGATCTTCAACAGATCCGAAATTACTGCTGAAGAAAAAGCCTTCCAAATGCATGGAGAAAACAACTCTAACGGAATTGTCACCCATTACGGCATCGCAGCCTCTAGAGTTAGAATTAGAAACCCCAACGTCGGCTATTGGCCCTCATGAAGACATATCTCCAAAGGAACTGGCAATAGCCACCGAGCCTGAGGTGCACTGGCAACATATGACCGTGTTTTCAGAGCCTGAACACAAAGCTAGGTAGAGGTGTCGTTGGAACCCCTTGAAAGACCCTTAGACTCTGGAAGTTGGGCCTCTTTGTCCTGGGCAGAGATTTCTCCATCCGGGCCAGCTCGATGGGGCGTAGCCCGAACCACACACATACAATCGGAGTCAATGTCTCCAACACCAGTGCTTCCATCCGAGAGCGCCGAATTGCCTAATACGAAGTTCCCCAAAAGACCACCAATTCTTGACAGCTTGCGAGAAACGAAATACTCCAGGATTAGGGGAGTGAACATTAATGACGAGGATACGGTCGGCTTATGAGTGTTCTGCTCAAGTAAACTGAAATATACGGTAGATCGGAGGCCTCAGTGAAGAGCTGTTGAAATCGTTCAGCAGGTTTTGATTCAGAGAAGATTAGCTCTTGTGTTTGATACGTGTAGCTTAGTTAATTTAAAATGTTTCTTTCAACAATACATATCGGGTTGCAGCTGCTCTAGTGTACCTGGCTCTCTCCCGTCTGCCCATTCCCGACCCCCAACCTAATGAACGGAACTGCGAGCAGCGAGTCCCGGCGAGCATAGGGCATCCACATTGATGGAATCCCAACTCCTCGGGGCATGACCTCAGATGGATGGACATACCAGGGAGATTGACCTCGCCTCCCAAAGAATTGATACCAAAGAATGAAGTCTCTGGAGTACTTGATGCTTACTTAACTTGAATTCGGAAAGAAAAAATAGAGCACCCATCACGGGGATCGAACCCGCAGCCTTCGCCTATTCCGACATATACTGTAATGTACATATAGGAGGGCGACGCGCTACCATTGCGCCAAACGGGCTTCGTATGAGAAGAATTTGGTGGTATGTTTATCTTATTGCGTGACTTGAATGGTACGTGGTTACTGCACGTGCATTCACGCCTCTGTGTCGTGGCCTGTACTGCCTCACGATAAGTGTTTAGTCTACCCAGATCTCTCCTCTTTTACATACGACATCACTCCTTGAATTTTCACGCAGAGCAAAACTATGTCATGAAAATGATGCCCTAGACTCTGTTCACCAATAGGTGCCATCACACAACATAAAGAGCGATATTCTGGACTGGGCCACTTCAGTATGTAATATGACCTGCAGTTAATGTCCACAATGGCAGCTAGTTTTAACTTGGATGAGGTCACATAAGTTGTCCTGACCAGGCTGACCTGCTCATCAATCTGGTCAATTGGCCAATGGGGCGCCATTGACGGTTGGGCCCATTAAAAGAAAAAAAAAAAATCGGTTGGGCCGACTGATCCACCAGCCGCCCTAATCACTGACCCAATCTGATGAACACAACAGTTATATACTATTATAGTCTAGATACATTTCACATAAAACTATAGAAAAAAAAGAGTAGGGGAACTAACTGAAGAAGATAACGATGCAAATGCTGAAGCTGATGCTGAGATGACATCCGACATTGCGCTTTACATGTTGTGTTTTACTGATATCAGGGTAAGTCCGCTGTGTTTGATTTGATACACCTAGCTACAACCTCACTGTGAGGCATAATACGGGGCTTGCAAAGCAAATCTGCGAAATCTAGTCGCTGCAATCGTGACCGGCTACTCATCCGATTATTGACTTTGCGGTGATCATGATTTAAATGCTAATTATAATCACCTTATCGAGGCTCCGGAACCGGTTGAATATAGCAGGTTTTGAATATCCTGCATCCCTACCTATATTTGCAATCCCAATCCACAACGTAATGGTAACTGGTAGATCCGATGAATATGGATCCACCTGCATTTTAGGGAGGAATTAAGAAAGGGTCCATCGATACTTGGTGATTTTTTTGGAAGTAGAATATTGTAACCAAATATGTTCCCCCAAAACTTTGGATATATATGCGGAGGGCATATTCCGTTCAAACTTAAATAAATAAACACCACTTGCCATCGGCTGTGCCTCCCTTATCCATACTAGGGAATGCCACGTTGCCACCACAGCTGGCAAAGCATGGAATTGAAATCCACCAATAACGGCCCGACAGTAGCGGAAAAAACCCACTAGCGACCATGCTATTATTCTGTCCAACACATTTGCTCGCTGCGTCTCAAATTATGTACAGTATACCCAGTTCCGCATGTTCCAGGCGATAAATAGAAAATTAAGCAACCAGGTGAAACTTGGATTTCGCCTACGTTTGCCTCCCATATAGCATGAAACCACGTACCTAGACGTACTACAACGTTACTCACTATAAAGTGGACCAAAAGGAACGTTACTCGAAAAACAACATTCAAAACGTCAGGTAATAAGCCAGACGAATGATTTATTATTAGCGTACCTCATTACTGCTACTAGCAGTACTCGTTGGACAAAGCAATTCACGGACAATACTTTACATTACACCTTCTCCAATGCCGCGCGAAGGTATCCACGAGTTTCAGTGTCCACTCCTCGTCCCTGATCCCCAGGATCAAAATATTCCCCGGTTCTGCCACACAGAATGCACTCGCGAACGCTACGCAACACATCTTCGCCAGAAACATCCTAAAGACACAGTCCCGTACAAAAACTGGGTTCATATTTGCCAAGATTCTTATCTCGAACTTACGAGCGTTTATTTCGCGCAGGCTTTATACTGCCCATTCGATGGTTGTGGTCGGATGTTCGCAGATGCTAATGCAGTGAACAGACATAAAGGAACACATACAGAAAATAAAAAGCATGAGTTACACTGCACACTTACGCAATTCGGACCGAATAAGACGGAAATGGAAAATATCAAAGCTCATTATACGATTGGCCAAGATAGTGAAATGTACCTGATTGCGAATGCCAACATAGACTGGCTATCGATTGCGAGAACAAATGTTACCGTGGACCCACAATACCTCTATCTTTGCCCGATTGGTGATCAACACATCTGTCAACATCCTATGACGAATCAGGCCTTGGCTAGACATTTCGGGAATTGCCATTCGGGGGTCTTGGGTGCAGCTGCGAATTGGCTGCATCTTTGGGTCGATCATCGGACGAAGAAGGCGGAAACAAAATTGATGCTGGCAAAGTGGTGTCCACATTGTACGGAGTACCATCAGTATTCCGATACGACGCTGGATCTGAAGAGGCATATTGCCGTTGCCCATAGTGATTTTGTGGAGCCAATGAGTATCAAAATACAAGGTTATAAAGTTCGCCAACTGCGAGCCAGTAGTAGCAATGTTGAAGGGCATGCATGGTAACCAAGTGAGGAATAGGTGTTGGGAGAAGTTTCTCATGTAGTTTCGTTGAATTAAGAAACGGTTACGAGAGAAGCATGCAAGCACATGTTGAGTTATCAGCATAATGAGAAACAGAAGATAACGGAGTAACAACCACTCATTGTTTATGATTCAAAAACAACGATACATCCCTATAGGGAGATACATTATATCCGAACTTAAAAGAGATAAATTTGTTTTGGCTGCATGTTCGGAGATCGTTTTCACCTGGCTCTCTATAGATAATATTGAATGCATCCGCATGCATATCCTGCTATGGCCATAATTTCACACACACTGAGACTTGCAAATGATTTGTCTAATAATATCGTTCTTTCCTATCTTTACCAATTTCACAGATTCCTTCATTTTGCTAATCAAACTCGAAATTCAAATATTCAAACTTATCCTATGATGTCCAAATTGAACGGTCATCCTCACTCGTGAAATTTTACTTCTTTGGACTTTTAATCGTCCTCTTCTCAATCATTTCCACCATCCCTTTGACTAACAAGTTCGAAGGTACCTTGGACTGGGGGCTGCCCTTCGTCCCCCCCTCAGCTGGTGGAGTTGCAACGTTTGAGCCTGGCAATGCCTCTGGGATCACACCCTTCTGAGATTTAGGCTTGGTTTCCCCTCCTTGTTGTTTATCCGAACTGGGGGATGTAAGACCTGCTTTACCCTCGCCAGAGGCAGACCCATCACCGACAGGGGGTGTAGTGATAGATTTTTCTTGACTTGAGGCCATAATTAAGTCTCGTTTTTGCTTTGAACTTGAGGGAAACTTGAATGCTAAGGATGGTGAAAGTAAATAAAGCTGGAGGGCAATTCGGAAGATATAGTTGCTCGATAGAGGCCATTGTGATTTGAATCTAGGTTATGATTCACATGGCCATGAATCGAATAAGTGATAATAAAAAATAGTTAGGCCATGAATTTGCCTTGTCATGGCATGACCTCATGTTTGCTGTAGAGATGCATATGGGAATTTAAGCTGAATTCCCTCACTAGCAAGTGAGTCGACTCCGATATGAAGACGGACCATATATAATTAATGATGGAGACCGGGAAAATAATCTCACAAATATGGGACTAAATATCGCATGTTATTTGAGATATGAAGTACGTCACAAGTCCTCATAATTTAAAGCAATATCAATCAAATGCTAATATCTCCAGTACTGTGGTCAACCCATTAGGTCCATATGGTACCTACAAATCCCACCTCCTGGCTAGTTCTCTTCCCACTCTTACCTTCTCTGCACACAAACCACCCCAACTCCATCACAGCCTAGCTAAGCCTAGCCATCCCGACAGCACTTCGCACGGGATGTGTGCCTCAAACCATCGTAGTCCCTAGACAAAGGATGGCGATGCACATATGTTCTAGGCAGTTCGCGGGACATGTATTTTATTACTGGGTTTAGTACTTAACGCACTTGAATTAATAACAATATACCTAACTAGACCGATGTCAAATATATACAACTATGCTATCATTGATCCCGGCGCAGGTGGTATCGACCAGAAGCTGGCCTGGGAGCTGTGGGACGTGTAACAGCTTTATCTAGCTCTGGGTCGATTGGTTCATCCTCCGGGTCATCCTCCGAGTGATCCTCCAGGTCAGTTGGGTTATTGTCTAATAGTCTACTCTCTGTTCGTTCAGCTAGAGCTGAGAGGTTGCCACAGACATAATCGGCTAATACATATCATCGCTACAAGTGAAAGCGAGCTTTTCTTCATTTACAGTCAGAACTCAAACGGGGGATTGGGGTGCCGGAAATGGGTGACATATACAGGCATCACATACTTGAGGGGTGTATGGATCGTGAGTTTAGCTTGAGACAGAACAGACTATGCACACACCTACTGGTCCCTCGCGTACCATTTGATAGCGGGTTTATGGAGGAACAGGATGTTCCTAGATAGGCAACGCTAGGGTCAAGGACTAGTGATCATGCCGAGTATATAACGAGAGAGAGGAGACAAGCTCTAGAGAGGACAAGGACAATCATGAGAATGACCTTTCTCCACACATACGTGATTTTCCTCTGCACATGCGTGACACATATATGACCTGCTCCCACAGCACAGTTATCTCATACCTTGTCCTTCAAGGTTATGACTCTGGTGAAGCCTTACTGAATGTTTTTTGTTTCTCTCCTGACCACGATGTCTGAACACTTAGAGAAGGAGGTAGTCATTACCAAACTAAACTCCAAAAACTATCAGGAATGGAAGAGAGACATTCGGGTGATTTTAACCATGAAAGACCTATGGGAACGTCTCTTAGATGACCGTCCTCCCGCTGCACATGAAGAAGAACAATGGAACTGGCATCATACCCAGTACAAAGCTTTAGCCGTCATCCACTTGCAATGTGAAAGAGAACAAAAGCTCCTGATCACTGAGGCTGAGACAGGGAGAGAAGCTTAGGATATCCTCGCTGAAAAATATGCATCTGCTGATCTAGTAAATATCATGAAAATAGAGGAGATTTTCGGGAAAGCCAGGAAGAGACTGGAACAATCAATAAGCTCATAGGTATCATATATGAAATCCCTTGCAAACCAACTCCGAAAGATAGA